TAACTTACTTTTTTTGTAAGACCAAATTCATTTAAACTTTGTAAAAAAGCTGTTTTGAAATTTTCACCTGAATGTGGGCCCTCAAGTTTAATAAAATTTAAAAGTAAATTTTTCAATTTTCAATTACTTGAAATCCAATGTACTGTAATTTCTAGAAATAGAAGAGCATTTGCTGATATCCAAGCATTTAAAGTAAATGAAATTCTACCAGGTATTTCCTATAAAAATTATATGAATAAATATATAAATATTTAGATAAAATTTATATATTACATACAATTACCTGTAAAAATTGTTGCACTTTTTTTTTTATTTTCGTCATAAACTGATATAATAGTATTTTTAATAATATCAGCAGAAAGTATTGTAATTTCATTTCATAAAATATTTAATATATTACAAAAATCTTGAGACTCAACACTTGTAAAAGATAAATCATTAACAACAATCCATATTATAAGTAAAAATACAAAAAAGTTGCTATATTATATGTCTAAATAATTTTAATTAGCAATTTTTATTTATTAAAAATATAAAATCAGAATATTTTCTATTGCTTCATGTAATGTAAGTTGGTTATTTTTCGATAGTTTTATCGGATGCTTATTTTTAATATGTTTTAACATGCTAGTAATACTGCTTTTACTTGTACTAACATGTATTTTGCAATAATTGCACAGAGATTTTTTTAAATTTTCATCAAAAATAAAGTGTTTTCATATCTAGCTTTGATGTTTTTTGCTGCTTGTACTTGATGATATATTAGCAATTTCACTGTCAATAATTTCTATTTCATCATATATTTTTGGCTGTTGTTTATATTGATAGCCATTGAAAAATATGTTTTGATTCATTTCTTCATAATTCATGGATTCATTCAAATTTTCTATTATTTTTAATATAAATTAATATTACTGAGAAACAACATGTGAAAAAAAATAATATACTTTGATTTTATAATATTTTATTGCCGAAATGGCTTTGAAATGGCTTTAAAATAGCTTCAGAATAGCTTTGAAATGGCTTATTAAATATTTTTAATATTTTTAGCCATTTAAATAATAAATTTTACAATTAAATCATTAAATATATTTATATATATTGTTTTATTTCAATAATATAATAAAATAAAAATTGCAATTTTATTTAATATACTGTAAATATAAATTTCGGTAAATATCAATATCGATCGGTACAGTACCGAAACCGATCGATACAGTATTGAAATTTTTGGTTCAGTATTTTTACATAAAAATTAGTACTGAAACTGATTGGAACCCTAGTTATAATCCACCATTATTTTTAATAATATTTTAAACCTCATATGAGTTTATGCATATCTATTCAATTTCAATTTTCAGGACTATAGTCAGAGGTTTTATTTCAATATATTAATATATTTTTTTGATTTTTTTAAGACTCTTGTAGTAAAAAAAAAAGAAAAAGTGAAAAACTTTTTAATATTAAAAGATAAAAAAATTTGTTTCTTTAATTTTGAAGAAAAATTACTATAAAAATTTTTTTAAAAAAAAAAGTTATATATGAAAAAAAGTTTTTTTCAAAAAAATTTTCTTAATAAAAGATTATACATATATATAAGAATAATAAAATTTTAAATTTATTTTAATTAATTTCTAACAATTTTATAAAATTGGGTTGATTTATTATTATTAAGGGCTTAATAAAAAATATGCAAAACAAAATTTCACTATAACTTACTTAAGACAATAAAACTTCAAAGTATCTTTAAATTTCATAATTTATAAATTATAAATGTTATGAATTTAAATATTCTAGGTTTTCAAGATACTCCAGAGTTTTTTTATATTAAATGTTTTATAGTAAAATTTTGTTCTATACATTTTTTATTAAACACTTAAAAAAAATAAATCAATTTGATTTTTTGTAAATGCCTAAAACAAATTTATATATTTTAATTCTAAAGATTTTTAAATATTTTACTTTAATGAATTTCAAAGGTTTTTGGAGTTTTTCAAAATATTTCTAAAAATTTCTAAAATATAAAGATCTTTAAAGTATTTTGCAAAAATTTTTCAGATGTAACAAACCAAAGTAAAATCCAAACTCCAAGTTACTGTATATATTCTATAAAATTAATAATTATCAAACTGATTATTAATTCTATTTTTACAAATATAATTAAGTTATTTTAATATTTTTTAAAAATAATAAAAATTAATTAATTTAAATAAAAATATTTATTAAATAATTATATCTTTTATGTACTTGTATTTTAATTTTATGTATCTAGTCGAAACTTTAATTATTGTTATATTAAACAATGAAATATTTATATATTGATTCAAACTCAAATTTAAAGGTTACCATTAAACAAAAAATTCGGTCATATTCGAGAAATACAATACTTATTTCAAAGTCCTCAATCCTCATACTGTCTCCTATACTTTCTATAACTATAAAAATAAATCACCACCAAAGCTACAATGACAATTTGATAATACCAAAATAACTGACTAAACCAAATCGCTAACAACATCAGAGGTATCATAGCAATCATGAAAACGAAATATAGTGATAATAGTTCAAAGCACTTCACACAATACCGAAAAAATTCGTTTTCAAACTCCGGTTCATCGTCGTCGATAGTATATTCATTTCTATATACGGTGGCCAGAAGATGTGTGGTTTCGTCAATTGACGTGAGTGACGAGATATCTATTGCGTGGCTGGAGTCTGTGAAAAATTGTGTCGACGTTTGAGGGGTATCGTCTATTTGGGTTTTTTCTGACATCGACATGATTTACTAAGTGATGTTTCTTGGGTACAAATTATTATGGCGACTAAATCAAAAGTAAATAGCAATATAAAGCTGCTTATAATGTGAAAAAATTCGTCGCGTTCAAAAGGTGATCTATACATACTGTTTCATGATTAGTTATTCGCTGATTTCTCATATGACCACCAAATGTAGTCGAATCGGAAATAGCGAAGCTTGAAAATTATACTAGTCAATAAAGGATTTTGTATAAACCACTAATTTTATATGGTCCTATTGTTCAAAAGTAAAGTATACTATATATACTGTAAATAGTAATATATTGATTTTTTTTTTTTTTTTTTTTTTTTTTTTTTTTTTTTTTTTTTTTTTTTTTTTTTGTTTTTTTTTGTTTTTTTTTTTT